TTATCCAATAGATAAAGCTTCAAACCTTTGTACAAGCCTCTAATCATATAAAGATTTGGAAGCAACATAGCCTGACAAATATGGCAAGGCTATGAGATTGGCTCAAAGTTATTTAAACAAACTTGCTTCGAAGGGTCCGGAGTTGGGTTTGAAAGATGCTGATTCAAAGGGAATCAAGGTTACAATCAAAGCCTTATGTGAAGGTGGTTTTTGTCCAGTCGAAAGCTTGCCTTCCAGAGGTTACATGGCCAAACGAAAGGGTGCATACAGGAACTCCCTGCTTTAGGGCGCTAGAACAAAGGGGAAATTCTACCTGGAGAGTTTGGCCAACATGAAAGACCAAAGGCTTCTGAGTCAAAGGAGAATTGCAAGAGGTCTTTGCTTTGTGACTTTAAACAAAACATGCAAGAGGCATTTGCTCAAACGAAAGCTTGCATGCAGGGAACCACATGCCCAAACGAAAGGTGTGATCAAAAGCTTGTACTGAAGGATTCATACGCCTAAACGAAGAAAGTATGAAGGGAGTCAAATGCCCAAACGAAGCTTGCAACAAGGAGCCTCATGCCCAAATGAAAGAGGTATGCTAGGCTTATAAAGATGCCCAAACGAAAGAGGCATGCATGAAGCAAAAAAGTGCAATCAAAGGATGCCAAAAGAGAGCTTTTTGCCTTGGAATCAAAGGAAGCTACAAGAGGCTTTATGCCTCGTGCATGCTAGCATGGTGGGAGCCTCTTGCACGCAAGAAAGAAATTGTGGCTCAAACGAAGGCTTGTATGTAGCTAGTTATTAGCTTTTGAGTCAAGGTAAGCATAGAGGGAAAGTTTGTATAGGCATGCAAGCATCAAACATCCAAACGAAACAGGCACCTAGGCATCCATTGCATGGTGAATCCTGTGAGACCAAAGGTGCAAACGAAGGTGGCGTACATGAAGCTCCTGCCTTGTGAACCAAAACCAACACGCCAGAGACCTATGCCCAGTCGAAGGATGCAAGCCAAGCTTGCATCGAAAGAGGCCAAAAGGCCAATCGAAGGAGCTGAATCGAAAGACTTGTTTTTCTCCAATTTTGTCAAAAGATTATTTTTATCTGCTTTCTTCCTTTTTAATAGTTTCCTTTTAATCTTGGTACTGAAAATCCCAATGTACTTGTGCAAGCTTGAACCTTGAGAATCCTTGTGAGAAATTCCTTAAAAAATGAGAGGGCAAATTTTGGGGTACAATAATAAGGTTCAATAGAAAATTTAACTTCTAAAGGTGTTCTTAATTATGTACAGTGAGAAGAAGCAGAAAATTTAGAATAAAAAATCAATTTATAATGCATGATTTGAGAAGTACACACTTGATTAATTTGTAAAATTGGTTTTGAGAGATCCACTCATATTTTTAAGTTTCTTTAATTACTGGAACTGGTTTTCATGTTACAAATATAGTGGCATCCACTATTGAGGCTAAGGAAGACAAAAAAGGTCGAGTTGGGGCTCCAAAGACTAAGGTTCTTCTTCTTCTTGCATTTTTGTTTGATCTGGTTTATTGATTAATTGTTTGATCTTGTAATAACATGTGATTATTTGTTACTGTTTTATGCAGTTTGATATTATGTTAGGAAAGGCTAAGAGTGTTGACCAAAGCACTTATGGTTGAAGTAATCTTTCGAATTTGTTTTTAGGTTTTTTGTTTGGACTTACTTATTTGAGTTTATTTAGTGACTTAAACTATACACTATTTTCAGCTTATTAACCTAAGCGTATCTTGCATAGGTCATTTCTATCATGGTGAAAAACAATAGTAAATCCCATATAAACTTTGAATAAGCTGTTTTTAAAGCTCCATGAGTGGCTTTATCAAAATAAGCAGTGGAAATAAGCTTAGAATAACTTATACATTTTTTTGAAACATTTACTATTACTTATGGTTTTGTTTATTTTACGAGGAACTGAATTAATTGTTGACCTTTTAAATTTATTACCATGCCTTTTTAGGTTTGGTGTCTGATGCAGTTCATTTGACATTTGGATGCAGTCTTCTCATGTATAATGCAAAATCGGTTTATTTTGAAAGTCATTTAAACTCAATATTTGACATGCCAATAAGTTATGTTTAGCTTATGTTCATAAGCTCTCTAAGATATAGAAGCAACTTATGGAGAGTTTACCATCATTCCCATTTTGATTAGAGAGAACTTATACTTAAGCTCTAATACAATAAATTTTTATTTATACTGTATATTAGTTGTGTAGACAACTGTTTCTTTTGCTTATGTCATTCTTCCAAGCAGTTGAATCACTTCATGCATTTGTACAAAATGAATCAAAACACAAGTAAGTTTATGTTCCCAATGATTGTTTATGTTATATTGCTTCTATAAAGTATTTTACATATTCAGCAGCAAAAGATTTGGCCTATTGTTTTACAGCTTCAAACTTTATGCATAAATTTTGTTGAAACTCATGAAATGTATTTATCTCAAAGTCTACATTTTTTCTATGAACATTTTATTTTTTCCAGATTATTATATTAGGGTTTTTTCTATGAAAGCAAAGCTTGGGATGAGCATGGGTGAATACTACATGATTAAGGTTGAACATGGTTTTGAACGCCTGTGCAAAGGTATGGCTGAACTGAACCTGGAACTACCGATCTTAGGTATGCATGTGATTGATTGTTCATAAATTGAGATGTTGTATGTTGTTACAACTTACAAATGAAATTCACTGGTTGATTGAACCTACAATATGAATCCAAATACTTTTGCAGTTGTGTTGCATAAATGGTTATTAAGCACTGTTAAAATTATTATTTTTATATTCAAAGTAGATGACATGTGGAGTTGTTTTATTAACTCATACACATAGTTGACGCAGAATGACCAATGTCCTTTCATAGTTTCCATATAAATTATAATAAACAATCTTACTTCTGATGAATTTACAGCTTGGGTTTGTGTATTGGGATGGTAAATTGGTAACATGTTTTAATTTGTAGATTGGTATTAAGAGACGATAGCTTGCAACTCCTGTTTTTTATTTTAAATTCTTCACAAACTTCTACTTTAAGAAATGATGCATTATTATTTTCTATGGAGATTTGCTTGTGTATCACTAATATTTTTATGCTATTTCTGACCATTTCCAAATCTTTTGAGGTCACTGAGTTATCAGGTAAACAAATCTTTTTTATCTGTCTGTTTGCACATCTTCCTCTTGAATCCTTGATGCATTTTGATTGAAAGCCCTTTATGCATTTTCTCGAAGACATGCTTTTACTCATATATTCTTACTCTGAAGACCATTGGGGCTCTTTTCCAACATGATTTTGTAGTTAGATCAGCCAAGTTTGTTGCACGCAAACAATGTATGTTATAAGTTTTTTAAAATGGGAAACTCAAACTGGTAATGGTAGAACCTTGATTTTTTGTGATCATCTCATTTTTTTGTGATTACATTGTGTTACACTACATTTGTGTGATAGTAGCAACATGTATCTCATTGCCCAAGTTTTAATAGGTCCTTCTTATTAGCTCACTTTACGTAGTAAATATTTCTGAAGTTGTCTTGATTGTTACTTATCCATTATCTACTTATTTCCTTATTTATTTACGTATTAATGATTTGTCAGCCTTGACAAGGACTTTGTAAAATACGGGACACCATTAGTGTTTAACCTATATTTTATTTTCAGATAGAGGCCATCATGAATGACTTCGTACAACTGAATTCACTGTCTGATGTTTATGAAGCTGAAATTATGGTTGAAGGTAATTTGCATCCACCAACAACTAACTCGGACTTATGTCTGGTACTATTACTTTAAATATTATGTATGATTTCTTTGACTGACTTCTATTCTTTTTATATGAGAATGCACATTATATATATATATATATATATATATATATATATATATATATATATATATATATATATATATATATATATATATATATATATATATATAAAAGACACTTCACATTTCTAAATTTATTGAATAATTAATGTATCTGATATCTATTATAGATTAAATACATTAACTATTTAATAAATTTAGAAATGTGAAGTATCTCTTATCAAAATTTCTAAATTTATTAAATAGTTAATGGATTTAATCTATAATAGATATCAGATACATTAATTATTCAATAAATTTAGAAATGTGAAGTGTCTTTTTTTATATATATATATATATATATATATATATATATATATATATATATATATATATATATATATATATATATATATATATATATATATATATATATATATATATATATATATATATATATATATATATATATATATATATATATATATATATATATATATATAATCTTTCAATACAAGATTTATAAAATTAATGTTATACCCATGTATAATTTCTTTATTCTCTTTATACAACCATAAACATGGGCTGACATTTGCTTCAAAATATAAGTAAGTATATTTGTCACTGAACAAAATAATATTTACTTATGAGTAAAAATACATTATTGATTTAAGTATTTGTATATAGATTTAAATATATAATTAATGACAAACAAAAATAATATTTATAATTAATATCTAATGTGTTGGTTCAAATTACTTGTGAGTATTAAACAAAATTTTATTTCTAATCATACATTTTAGTTTTTACATAATTACTAAATACTTTGTTTTCAAAAGTACTTATAAACAATAATTACTATATAAGAAAACAAAGCGCGTGAGCGTGACCGACCAAATGCAAGGGTTTGTTACTAGTATTATTTAGAAAAGACACGAGACATGAACTTGTCTTAAAAAGAAGCCCTTGCTTATTGCTTAATATCTTAAAATGTAGTTGTCGAAGTCAACAATGTTGACTTGTTTCTTCTGTAGTGCGTTGTTCTCGTGTCCTCTGAGCTTTTTCTGATTGTGGTTTCATTCATCATCATCATCATCGTTACTGAAAGTGAAAGACCCCTTCTCTGTTTTTGATCTCTGATTCTGATGCCATGTTAGGGTTTTAAAATATCCAATTCACATGGAATTGAAAAAGGGCAAGCTTGTCAGGTACTCTCTCTCTCTCTAGCTACTGTTTATTTATGTGTTCATCATGGGAGCTTGAAGCTTCCTCAATGATGCTTGAAGATTGTCTTTGTTTATTTTATCTTGGATTGGAAACAGATTTTTATTGTAACAAGATATTGAAATTTATGAATTTAGGTTTTACTCGGATGGGAAAAAGCATAAAGAACCTTCGGTGCTTGAAACCCCGTCTTCTATATACAAGCTTTCATCATCTACCTTGCTTAAATCTAGTAACAATGTCCTTCCATTAGGTAAAAACAAAATAGGAGGATCTAAGGTATTCCCTGAGGACCATGAGCCCTGGAGAAAAAGAATACTTGACCCGGGTAGCGAGATTGTCTTGAAATGGAATCGGGTCTTTATAGTTTCTTGCTTGGTGGCACTTTTTCTTGATCCTCTCTACTTTTATTTGCCTAGTGTTATACAAAATACAGGGTCTTCCTGTGTCAGGACTGATCTAACGTTACGGATTGTTGTCACTTTTCTTCGTACCATTGCGGATGCTTTTTATCTCTTGCATATTATGATTAAGTTCAGGACAGCATATGTGGCACCCAGCTCACGGGTTTTTGGAAGGGGTGAACTTGTCATGGACCCAACTAAAATTGCTAGGCGATACATCAGATCTGACTTCTTCATTGATTTTATTGCCACACTGCCACTACCACAGGTTTCTTCTTCTGCTTTGGCATCATTTAATCTTGTATAGTGAATGCATACCAACATACTACATCCTTTAAAGGGGTGCGGTATATTGATAATATCTTGGTTTTTCTTTTCAGATGGTCATCTGGTTTATCATACCAGCTACAAGGACCCCTCAGACGGATCACAAGAATAATGCTCTTGCATTGATTGTCTTGCTCCAATATGTTCCAAGATTATATTTGATTTTTCCATTAAGTTCTCAAATAATCAAAGCAACAGGAGTGGTTACAAAGACTGCTTGGGCAGGAGCTGCATATAATCTGCTATTGTACATGTTGGCTAGCCATGTATGTAGTTTCGCTTGATTTAATGCTACTATTTAAAACTCTCTCTCTCTCTCTCTCTCTCTCTCTCTCTCTCTCTCTCTCTCTCTCTCTCTCTCTCTCTCTCTCTCTCTCTCTCTCTCTCTCTCTCTCTCTCTCTCTCTCACACACACACACACACACACACACACATTTATCCGAATTATTTGAAACTTATTAATCCGAGTCTAATTTTCTGCTAGGTTTTAGGGGCATCCTGGTATCTTCTGTCTGTTGACCGATATACTACTTGTTGGAAATCTTTATGCAAAAAGGAAGATAACCCTAATAATTGCTTTCTCTACCTAGACTGCACTTCTTTGAACAATGGTATGCGCAAGATATGGGCAAATAGTACAGATGTGTTTAGTAGTTGTGACCCCAGCAATGACATTCAGTTCAAGTATGGATTATTCCAAAATGCATTAACAAAGCACGTTGTCTCTTCAAACTTCATATCAAAATACTTATATTGTTTATGGTGGGGGTTGCAGCAATTAAGGTATGTTGTGATATTCCCGTATTAGGTTATGGAATTTAATTTTATAAAGGCTCATTTGATTAATTCATGCAGATGTTCACTTTTTGATTTCCCCCATCTTAAGAATAATATGCTCGCTGTTATTACTAACAAAATTAGAGGGTTTAGGGTGGAAGATGAGAGAAAAGTGAATACATATACTATGATATAGTATGGGCTTGTATTGATATGTGATGAGATGGATGTATACCAAAATACAAAAGTCCTAACACCTATTATTAATAGTAATAATGTAGTCCAAGTACTACTGTAGCACTACTCATACTAGCCAGTCATGATATAATACAATCTCATACCTTAGTTAGCTCAGTTCGCACAAGAATATTGATGGTTTTGTCAGTTTTGGTGTCAATTTGGTAGTGGTATGCAAAGGTTAGAAACCCAAGATGGAAATAGAGAAAAGAAAGAGTAATTTAATTGTTTGCTTAAAATTTAACAGAACAAGGACAAACATCTCTTCCAAAGTTTTCTTGCTTCTGCTTTGTCATCATTTGCATCTACGACAGTCCTGCAGTCCTGCAGAAGTAGTATTTGACCGACCATCTCAAGGATTTGTTGGATAGTCCAAAAACTGCAGACTTGTGATTCTTGAAGCGGCATCCTTTAAGTTGTTTGCCACGAAATCAATGCCGTTTAGCTTCTGGGTGTTCTTCTTCCTGGTAGCTGATAGAGCAAAGGAATAGATGGACAGAAGTATCAGCATTATTACTTAAATGTCAAGGGAAAACAGTGCAAGCCCTCATACAGACAACCAGTGCAATAAAATGGTCCTCAGAGTCTAACAGAATACATGCATGACTCGACACACACTCCCCCTAATCATTATGTTGGAATATTCTAACTAACTGCTAATCTGGCAGCAGCTATCACTCAACAATATCTTTCTTCTTATGCTAATACACTCTCCAAATCTAGGGCCTATTCTGACTAAAGCCTACTAAAACATTTCCATCAGACCCCACCCCACAGAAGTGTCTATGTCCAACACCCTATCAGTAGCCCTCTCCTTTTAAAGCCGTTCTAACAGTGTTTCTCCCTATTATGTGAAGATGGCGTCTGAAATTTGTAAGTCGAAGAACAACTTGTCTTACACATAATACAATTCAAAAGTAAAAACGTCACCTAATCGGTTCTTCCTCTCCTCAATTTCCCTTTCCCCTAGCCTCTATTTATCCCTTAACCCGTCTCCATCTTGTCTTTCTCTTTTCTTCCTCTGAACTACATTTGTTGTGCATTGTTGATATTTTTAAATAGTGTTATTGTGTTAACCGTTAAGAATATTTGTATATAGAATAGTCTCACATCGGCTATATCATGTAATTAGCTGTAATCTCTCACTCTATATATAATAAAGTCTCCGTAGTGCTTTTCAAAACATACGGTTTATTCAAATGTCTCTCAGTCTCTCGTATTTTAACATGGTATCTAGAGCCTACTGAGAGACAGCCCTTCACCGTGTTTTACCCGGTTGACTCACTGTCTTCCGGTGAGAAATTTTTGGCAAACCGTGTCATAACTCCGGTTTGCCTTCCATACACTGCCGTGACTCATACCGGCATCCGTTTTCAAATTTCTCCGGTCACTTCCGCCGCAGTTTGTCTTCCATACACTGCCGTGACTCATACCGGCATCAGTTTTCGAATTTCTCCGGTCACTGCCGCCGCCATCTGTCGCCGCTGCTACTGTTTTCGGCGACCTTCCGGGAAACTAACCCTACCGATAGAAGCGCCTCCTCCGATCCAGCCCATCAATCACCAAATAACAAATAAAATAGAGTTTTGGGTGTTCTACACATTAACTCCCAAACAATTGGCAGAAAAATGTTGTCGTAGAACTCAACTCTGTATTGTGTTTTGTTTGTATTGGCTTTTGATATATGCATCCAATGCATGTTGGGCGTTGGCTCTAAATAGCAGAGTTTAAAACCTTGTTTGTGGCATTTCTTAGTGACAGCTGTCATTGTTTGTTGTCGCCTTTTTTAATGATGATTATGATTATGATTATCATTGTTATTATTATTGTTAAAACTGACTATTATATTTTGGTATAAATAGTATACAAACATTAAGCTCTTCATATAGAGTATTTCTAATCTAATGAGTCCGACTAAAGGTCCAAACATAAATTACTACTAACAACAGTGAAAATAATTAGTAAAATATTAATTATTTACAACACTCCTCCTCAAGTTGGCGAACGAATATCTATCTTTTTTCGCTTGAAAACAATTCTTTCGAAGTTATTTTTGTTCAGCCCTTTTGTTAAAAGATCTACATGGTTGTCTTGGGAAGAGACACATAGAGTGCAAATAAGACCAGTCTTTAGTTTTTCTTTTAAGAAGTGTCTAACAACATCTATATGTTTGGCTCTATCATGTTGCACTGGATTATGGACTATGCTAATAGCAGACTAATTATCACAATAAAGTCCCATTAGTTCATCACACTTTATCCTTAAATTTTCTAAGATCAGTTTCTGCCATAACAATTTGCACATCCCTTGTATACATTTCCTTATTAACAGCAATATCTTCTTATAAGAACTGCAAAGAAGGCAGCTAGGGTTTTTTATGCAGAAACAAGACCTTCTCAAACGAGACCTCTGGTACAATGTTAAAGCTGAATATTATATTTCAGTTCTTAATAGTATACAAGCACTGATCTCTTTATATCCGGTTTATCAAATGGCGGTGCCATGACTGCTATGGCGGATATACATGGCGGTTTTGGGGTTCGCCGCAATGGTAAATATCAGCCGATATTGCAGATTTTTCCGTCATAATCCGCTATAACGGTGCCGCAAAGTGGGTTTAGGTCCAAACATAAATTCCTATTAACAATAGTTAAAATAACAATATTAAATTATAAATTATTTATAACAGTTATCATTAATATTAATTAATAATATATTATTTGGCTTTGTTTCAGTTCTTATGGACAAAACCTAGACACAAGCACATTTATTGGAGAGACGTCATTTGCTATTGTGATTGCCATCTTAGGTCTTGTATTATTTGCACATTTGATTGGGAACATGCAGGTATTAGTAGATATTTTGTTTTGACCTTCCTATCTAAAATATATGAAAGTGTAATCAACGTTGTTAGCTTTCTTATAAATTTGTTAGAATGATTATTGATTTCCTAGAAAAGTTCTTTGTTAAACTAGTGTTCTATCCTTTTCTCAAATTAATTCATATTTGACTTCTTTCAATATAAAAGAAATTCATTCAGAAGAAAATAATTTCATTAGTTGCTAACTTCATATTTAGAGAATACAAAAAGAACATTTTCTTGTTTCGTATGAATCATTTCCTTTTTAGTATTTTAACAATGGTCATATGTACTACGTATTCTCATGTTACACAACACAATGCCATATCTGCGCAGTATGCATATACTTATATAATGAAATGTTCTTAGTTTTCTTTACATTGATTTTTCTTTTGGGTGGATTCCTTTGGCATAGACATATTTACAATCAATTACTATAAGGCTGGAGGAGTGGAGGCTAAAACGAAGAGACACAGAGGAGTGGATGGGACATCGCCAACTCCCTGAAGATTTGAGATTTCGTGTTAGACGATTTGTTCAATATAAATGGCTTGCAACCCGTGGTGTTGATGAAGAAACCATTCTACGTTCGTTGCCAACCGATCTTCGTCGTGACATCCAACGCCACCTATGCTTAGACCTAGTTAGACGAGTATGGTTTTTTCTTGCTGTTTAAAGTTTTGTAGAATCTTATATCATATTCGCCGTCATGTTTCACTTGCATGTACAATTTCTGTATAGATCCTCCTTTGCTAATGTCCATAGTTTGGAGCATAATTTAAGTTGCATGTACATTTTCAGGTTCCCTTCTTCTCACAAATGGATGATCAGCTTCTTGATGCCATATGTGAGCGGCTGGTATCTTCTCTAAGCACTCTAGGCACCTACATTGTTCGTGAGGGTGACCCTGTAACTGAAATGTTGTTTATTATTAGAGGCAGATTAGATAGTTCTACGACAAATGGTGGCCGAACTGGTTTCTTTAACTCAATTATATTGAGACCTGGAGATTTTTGCGGCGAGGAACTACTTTCTTGGGCACTACTTCCAAAATCAACCATGAATTTGCCGTCTTCAACCAGGACAGTTAAAGCCCTGAGTGAGGTTGAAGCTTTTGCTCTTCGAGCTGAAGACCTAAAGTTTGTCGCTAATCAGTTTAGGCGTCTCCACAGCAAAAAGCTGCAGCACACCTTTCGATTTTACTCTCACCATTGGAGGACTTGGGCCGCTTGTTTTATACAGGCTGCTTGGCGTAGATATAAGAAAAGGATGTCTGCCAAAGATCTCGGTTTTAGAGAATCCCTTCCTTTAGACGAGACAGAGGCCAGTGAGAGAGAACATGAAGAGGAATATCCTACTGGTTCAAACTCATCTCAGGCTAAAATGAATCTCGGGGTCACAATTCTTGCTTCAAGGTTTGCTGCTAACACACGTAGAGGAGCACTAAAGATGAAAGATGACTTGCCTAAGCTACGAAAGCCTGAAGAACCCGATTTCACCACCGAAGCAGATGACGATTAATAACTCTTTAGAGACATTTGGTTGATATATTCAGCTTAATGTCGATGGTGGTTCTATCTATAGGCCACATAAATCAGCATATCTCTCTGCCTTGACTCTTATTGCCGTGATTTAGAATGATGATGTATGTATTATAGAAAGGAACACAAAAGGGAAGAAAAACTGAACTGAATTGCATATACTGAAAGAATCCTTGTTTTTCTTGCTCTATTCATGTAGTTGATACTCTTATCATCTATTCTCACAACACGATTATCAAAAAACAAAAAGACTATTCTCAATTTTTATCATATACTCAATTGAGCATTGCTATGTTGACACCCCCAATTTCGACATTAATATCCGTATACACTGTTCACTGTAGTGTTTTTTTAAATAAAAAAATATTATTTTGAACCGTACATGAATAGTGTGTGAATAGTTCATTGAACAATGCTTGTGACAATTTCAGTGAATAATGTTCAGTGAATAGTGCATGAATAATATTTTTAGTGATAAAATAAAGTTGGTTAATAAAATATAAAAAATTAGTTAATGAAGTAATGAAGTTGGTTAATAAATGTTTAAATATTAAAAATAAATTTTAATAGTAAAATAAAGTTGGTTAATAAAAAGTAAAATGTTAGTTAATAAAATGATGAAGTTGATTAATAAATATACATATACTAAAAATAATTTTTAGTAGTAAAATAAAGTTCGTTAATGAAAGGGAAAATGCTGGTTAATGAAGATATAAAGTTGGTTAATAAATACTCTGATATTAAAATTATTTTTTAGTAGTAAAACAAATTTGATTAATGAAATCTAAAATATTAATTAATGACGTTATAAAGTTGATTAATAAACACCTAAATATTAAATAATTTTTAGTAATAAAATAAAGTTGGTTAATAAAATATAAAATATTGATTAATAAAATTATGAAGTTGGTTAATCACACAATTTATATCGGAATCCTGTAATTTAAAAATAAAAAAAATAATTTATATATATATTTTTAAAATTTAATTATTATTATTATTATAATATTTTACTGTTCACCGTATTGGTGAACCATGAAATACAACGTATTCTCATTTATTTGGTGTGAAGATAATATTTCTCTACTCATTTATACCAAAAAGGGCAGACTAAATTACCTGAGGTGCTTGTAAAAACAAAATAAGAAATGACAATTTCTCATCTCACCCTTGTTATATGGGATGCAACTTTGAAATTTCAAAAATGTCCTTAGATAAATTTGGAGATACATATTCGAATGCACCTTCATAAACAAGTATTAAATTAGTTCGGATATGCATATCCGAATTCATCCTGGATTAATTCAGAGACGCATATTCAAAAACACTCTTGAACCCATTTACTATGCATTTTCATTGAAATTAGTGAGTTGTCGGGTACTCTTTGTTGATTTTTACCAATATTAGAATCATATGAATTGTATCCTCGCGCTCTGGCCTTTGCGTTCCTACGTTTCTGGTTTTTACGCAACCTAACGTAAAAAACTCGATTTTCTAAAAAATTGACTCTGAATCAAAATTTACCGTGTCAATTCATCAGGAAAAAAATTAGGATCAAACCTTAAATTCCTTGTTTTTCTATTTTTTTGATTTATTTTTTGTTTTCATATTTTTGAAAAAATCCAGAAAAATTTATAGACATTTAATTTGATTTAATTTGATTTTTAGTTGTATTTTTAGAATTTTAGAATTTTATTTTAATCGTTTTTCTATTTTAGTTATTTTTCTCAATAAGAAAATTGTTGGTATTTACATATTTGTAGACATCCAATACTAAGTTTAAAAAAAACCCGACAGTGAATTTTTCGGATATGCATATCTGAATTCATCATTTTTTCATAAAAAATAAGATTTATTCGGAGATGTATATCCGAAAATACTTTTTTTCGTAAAAAATAAAGTTTATTCAGATATGTATCTCAAAAATTAAGTATTTCGTAGAAAAATGGTGCGTTCGGAGATGCATCTCTAAAAATAATGAGCATTTTGAGAATTTCACGCAGAGCCTTGGAAAATGTACAAGGGTGTAATGAGAAATTGCCTAAAAAATGACTTAAATAGTATTTTCATCTCTGTAAGTTAGCAGATTTTTTGTTTTAGTCCCTGAATCTTCTTTTTTTTGTCAAAGTCCCCATATGTTCAATTCTCTTTGGCGTTAGTCCCCACTGTTAGTGAGACGTTAAAAAAACGCTGAGGTGGCAGACATTGATGACTTGACATATGTTTTAACTTTTATTTTATTATTTTCTTTAACGCACATTAAAAATGCTACACAAACAACACAACCTGTACCAAATGTAGAAGAACAAACAACTCATGCTGAAGGTGGAGCTTCTACTGAACAACAACAACCTCAAGATGATCCTCCACCTGAACAACAACCAGAAACACAATGTGATATGGACCAAGAGTTTGAAATGCTTGCAGCAGATCTTTGTGCAGCTTTTGAAACAACACAACCTCAACCCAATGTGAATGATCTCACTTCCCAAGTTCCACCTCAAGTTGCTAGTGACCATGTTCCAACTGTTGAGGTTGCACCTGTAATGGCTTCACAGGGAGTTGGTGACTCATAACCAAACTACATTTTGTTTGCACCTGTTCAAGGTGTTGAGGCTACACCTAATAAACCTGTTTCTGCGCCCCCTAAATCAGTTGAGTTTGTTACTTACTAATTCAGTTAAGGTGTATTCTTAGCTTTATTGATATTTGCATAACTCTATATGTTCTAATTGTGTTTTTGTAGGCAAAACAATCTAAACAAAAGGTGGCAAGGAAGTTGGAGTTGAGGAGAAGTGATAGAACAAGAGTACTCAAATGCAAAAACTCAAGGGAGAAGGAAGTAATCTGGCACAACCATGGAAATTGTAGACATTGGAATTGATTTAACTTATTTTTTTTTTGCACGACATACTGCAATGTGTGCTTCAGCTTAAGACTTGTTTTCAATTATGTCTTTTGATTACAACCATTATCTATTATGTATTTTATATTATGGATTTAACCTTGGAGATTGAACCTTTATGTTTTGGATACAACCATGTAATATGGCTTAAGCCTTTTTGTTTATAACATAATGTGTATTTTGGATACATTATCAAATTTGTTTTATGCATAATTGAAGTGCTCTTTTACCAATTTGGCTTTTATGCACATTACCAAGTTTGGTCTATGCACAATTCAAAATAGGATGAGCAATATAATTTCATACATATACTGTCCAAATTCAAAACATTTTTTCATTCATCATATGGTCAGGGACCATTTACAAAATACATTAATGTCACAAGGACTTAAATTAAAAAACAACAATCAGACACAAACAAAAGGATTTCACCACCATTTGTGATAAGCAAAGAAGAACCCCCTTGACCCATCCAACAAAAGCTTCAACAAAGTCGCCTTTCTCTTCTCCTTCTCCAACTTAATCTTCATCTTTGCCTTTTTTCCAATCTTAATCTCCTTAACAATGGACCCTAAATCCTTCAACATATCCGAGCAGTTGCACCCACTTGAATTTCTAACATCACTAGCTAGATTTCGTTCAAGCTCGTCACCTCAAAGGAATAACTTGCAACCAGACATTAATCTTGAGTATTGACACTTCCAAAATCTCCTTTTAGGATTCTCAATAGAGTTTGACATAAACATTTTCATGCTTCTATTGCAACCATAAACCAGTGCTTGAACGTGATGAGAGTTGGCTGACGAAGAAGAAGCCATGAATGAATGGAAGAAGAAGGTGCAATGAAGAAGAACAACATGATGAGAGTGAAGGAGAAGAACAGGAAAATGTAATTTTTTATATTTAGTCCCTATTTAATAAACTGTAAAGAGAACAATTCCACATGTGTTAATGAAAATAAAATAAAAAATGATACAACATTATCCAGGTTATCATCGTCTGCTAACTCACTTTTTTTTAACGTTCCATTGACAACAAGGACTGTATCCAACAAGAATTGGACATATGAGGACTTACACACAAAAAAAGATTCAGGGACTAAAACCAAAAACATGCTAACTTACAGGGACGAAATCACTATTTAAGCCCCTAAAAAATTATATGTAGGTGGTGTTTTGCATATTACCTTGTGAATGAAGTACCATAATTATACCCTCTTATTTTAAAACATACACATTTATCTCTTGAAAAGTAAATATATAGAAAATATTGGCTTAAATGCACTTTTAGTTCTCATATTTTAATTATTTTAATATTTTAGTCCCTTTTAAAAAAACTCAATTTTTTAGTCCTTCAATTTAATATTTTGAGATTTTTTTAGTCCCCCATCAGATTTGTCTAATTGTCGCTTTATTTTATGACGTGCCCCTTGTAACGTCCGTAATTTAATTAATCATTTAATTAAATTATTTTTGAAATATTTGTGAAGAAGTGTTATTAAATTGAATTTATTTTATTAAGTGGAGAAATAATAATATTAGAGGTATAATATTATTATGTGGTGAAATAATGTTAGAAGCTAATATTATTTAATGTGGGCCTTTATTGTGTGAGTATAAGTAATAAGGGGGTGTAGGTTTGGAGCCCAATAAGAATAATATAATAATATTAGGTTATTTTATTATTTGTGAGAAGAATAGAAGGAGAAAGCAGTAAGAAGAGAAAATAAGGATTTGAGGAGAACGTAAAGCTGCTGGAAAAAGTAGAAAACGGCAAGAACAAAGATTCAACCCGAAAATTGTAGAACGACCTTCGATCCAAGATAAGGGTGGGGTTCCGACTTTATAATTGGGTTCATGATGTTTAATATATGGGGTTAGATGTGATTGCTGTTTTTGTTCTTGAATTGGATGATGTATGATGAAGATTTGATGCATTTGAATGAATAATGACGTTATGATGTTGTTTAATCGATGTAGTATTATAGGTTAATGTTAGGTGATGATTTAGTATGTTTATAATGAGGTTTATAGGACTGTAATTAGATTCCCGTAGTGAAATTACAGAAGAAAACG